AAGATCTTTAGCATCTCTGAACTCTACCTGCTCGATGCCAGCGCCCCAGCGTGACAACCAAAAATGTTTCTAGATATTGCCAAATGTCCCCTGGGGACCAACATCGCCGTGGCCGAGATTCGCCAGCTGTTCAGTGAACACTTAGGTTACATTTCTACACTTTCTAGCATGTAATAATACAAGTACATGATTTGTGTCATTGTTTCTGTTGACATTTGACACGTGTGGCAAGTTAGATAGTTTTATATGCTGTAACTATTGGGGAATTGATCAAGATCAGTGCTAACAATGGAACTTGGAAAGTTCCAAATTTATATAATAAACATGTAATAATTAATGTACTGATTAATAGTTAATAAAGTGAAACAGCAGACTGTTATAAGATCCGATATCATAGTACACCAAGTTAAATTTATCACTAAAAATTAATAATAGTACTGTATATTTGTGTTTCACAGTTTTTTAGGTGGTTTCACATATATTTCCACACCTGATTCTCTATCCATGAAGTAGGTAGGACAGATATTTTTATCCTCAAGTTGCAAATGGGGAAAAAGAGATTCAGAAAGCATAAGTAGTTCGACCTAAAACTCACATGTTATTTAAGAGCTGGAAGCAGGTCTTAAACCCAAGTTCTGTGACACAAACCAGACAAGGATTCTGAGATTTGTCTCCTTAATGAGTGAAGCTCCCCTCAGCCTCCCACCCCTCAGTAAAAGGAACCAAGTAGATATTGTTATGATTAATGGTTAGTCCTTTTCTTATCTTTTTTCCAGCTCTTATCACTATCTGAAATGTTTGTCTTGTCCAATGATGAGGCTCCTCTTTCAGTATAAAAATCTTTCTAAAATTACGTGAGAAGCCTTGTTGGTATCTTGTTGAGCTCCCCTTAACTGCCTCGCCAAGGCGTAAGTCTGGCTTTTGTTCCGTGTCCCCACGCCTCCGTTCTGCTTGCCATCACCAGTCAGCCCCCAGCCCTCCGCACAGCCCCATCTGGCCTGCTCGGGTTGTCTCTGATTTCCCTGTAGTTGCTCCATCTGGGCAGCCGGCACAGGCGGAGACCAAGCAGAGTTGGAGGATTTTAGTTTCCTTTGCTCTGAACTCTATATTATGTGGAAGCAGAGAATTTGCCAGTCTGACACATCAGTTCAAGGCCAAGCTCACGGCAAGTGAAGAAAAGGTAAATCTTGAATTTCCTCCTAAAAGTTTCCTGCTGTGAGGTTCAGTAGGTCACAGTGGCTGCTGGGATTCTGATGACGTATTTGTGGAATTCCTCCACATTGCTGGACATTTCTGGGGTGGTAATTGATTGCAATTTTAAAAAGTTTAAATTAGGAGTTTGGGATTAACATGTACACAGTACTATATATAAAATAGATAACAAGGACCTACTGTATAGCACAGGGAACTATACTCAATATTTTGTAATAAAGAATAAGGGAAAAGAATCTGAAAAAGAAGGTATATGTGAGATATATACATATATACATATAAATACATATATATAACTGAATCATATGTATATGAATGACTTTGCTGTACACCTGAAACTAACACAACAGTGTAAATCAACTAGACTTGAATTTAAAAAAAAAAAGGAAAAAAACTTCCATTCTTGTTTGTGATTTTAGCTTAAAAAGCTACATAGCACATTCATTAGATTGGGGATTGGAAGGGAATGTAGAAAACAAAAGACAAGGGTTGTTTTTAGGTTCAGGAGATGGTGATCAATTTTTTAAAATGCCAATATTTTATTATAAGTATTCAATAAATAAAAAATAATTGTAAAAAAAGTGTACACACAGCATAGAATATTTGTGAAGTCCACACAGTCTTAGCACCCTCTCATTTATTCCTGAGTAACGCACGTAAATTTTCTCTGGGTCAGCTGTGGGCCTTGTACGTTAGCGTACCTGATGTATTACTGCAGGTTAGTGTACCAGTGTGCATGCTTTTTTCTCTTGGGGGCTTTTAGCTATTTCTTTTCTTTTTAAAAAATTTCACAGGAAATCTGTTATTTTGATACTGTCAGCCTGCTTTCTATCAATAAAAATTTTTTTTTAACTTGAATACCATAAAATTCCCTTAGTAAAAGTTCAGAGAGTCGGGCTTGCAGAAAACCTGACCTGTTTATTCTCTTGCTTTCAGACAAAAAAATCACAGCTGAAGTATGACAGATAAATAGCAGTTCAATTTGCCAAACTCCTCAGGGACAGATCTAAAGTTTCCCTCAGAGATTACCCTTCTCTGTCAATAAATTCCTCATAAATATTAGATACATTCTTCTTGCTACGGTTTAAGGCTGTTTTCCTTTTGTGGGATTGATTGACTAGGGGTGTTGAACAGCTGGTCAGCATCGTCCACGTGTCACATTGCATGTTGTATCTGCCTTTCGGCTTTTCTCCAGGCAGTACTGTGTTAATTACTGAGACATCGCCTCATGGATTAATACATCAGTCTTTCAGCCAGATCCTGTTGGGATGATTCCTGCTCTTAGTTTGTGCCCAGATCAACCTTCTAACAGGTGAAATTGCTTTCATTCAATTCAACAGGTGTTTATTAAATGCTTCCGTGAGCCCCAAAGTTGCAGGCCTTAATGAACAGCAACCTCAGAAAGGACAGGGTTCAGGGCTATGTGTTTTAAAATAGGACATGAAATTTTAAATTAAGCTATTTAACTTCACAAGGAGTAAGACAAGTTGAGGTTACAATCTGCTGCTGGGGCATAAACTTACAACCCTGAGCCATGCTGCACCTTTGAACCCCTGTCTTTGTGTGTCCTTGAGCGGCTGGCCCAGCGGGACCCTCCCTCAGCGGCAGCGTTATGCCGCTGGGTTGGGGGCCTTAAGCCAGTGCTGTGTGCGCTCGTCTTTGGGCACGTGATCTGGGATCAGAAGGGCCTGACAAAGAGCCGCCCAGGAGACTTTCACCTGTGGGTCATCCCTAGACCTTGGTCTTGATGAAAGTACACAAACACAAAGGCTCACGCCCATCAGCTTATTGTGTGAGGTCTCAGACCCGGCAGCTGGGAGCTTCTCTGGCCACTTTTAGTTCCTGTGTTAAAAGAGTGTAGCTGAGAAAAGACAGACAACTCAGGTTTTGAAGTTTCAAAAGGTGGGGTTCTTGTGTTCTAGCTCCCGTGTCAGGTATCACGGGGGCCACTTTTTAGTGGCAGCTCAACCAGTGGCTCTTCTGCCTTTTAGATGTATGGGAGAGCTGCCCACGGGAAGGTGTGGTCAGTAACGTAGTAGGTACCATTTCAGACCTTGTTAGTTAGATGCTGGCCTCAGTCTTTATAAAGGCTGTTAGATCTCCTGCTGATGCCTAAGTGGGAAATCTTTGACATTAAAAAATGTTTTTTTCAATTTAAAATGTGTGTGTGTGGATCGTCCCAGATAGACTTGTGTCTTTGGCCTCACTGGACACACTTAGTTCCCGTGCTAGTGCTTCATGAACTTTAAAAGTCACCATCGAACCCTCCAAAGAAGCTATACAAGTGGCTAATAAACCATGAAAAAATGCTCAACATCACTAATCATTAGGGAAATGCAAATCAAAACCACAGTAAGATATCATCTCATTACTGTAGGTTGGCCACTATATAAAACAAATAGAAAATCACAAGTATTGGTGAAGATGTAAAGAAATTAGAAGTCTGTGAACTGTTGGTGGGAATGTAAAATGGTGCCGCTGCTATGGGAAACAGTATGGTGTCTCCTTGAAAAATGAAAACTAGAATTACCATATGATCCAGCAATTCCATTTCTGGGTATATACCCAAAGGAAGTAAAAGCAGAGTATTGAAGAGATATTTGTATACCTGTGTTCACAGCAGCATTATTCACAGTGGCCAAGAGGTAGAAAGCAGTCTCCAGGTATCCATTTACAGATGAGTGGATAAACGAATTGTGTACACATACAATGGAATATTATTCAGCCTTAAAAAGGGAGGAAATTCTGATGCATGCTGCAACACGGGTGAGCCTTGAAGACATTATGCTAAGTGAAATATGCCAGTCACAAACAACAAATCCTGTATGATTCCACTTCCATAATGTGCCTGGAGCTATCAGATTCATAGAAAATAGAATGGTTGTTACAAGGGGCTGGGGGGAGGGGGGAGAGGGGGAGGTGGGGAGTTGTTTAATGTAGGAGGTTTAGTTTTGCAAGATGAAAAGCATTCTGGAGACGGACTGCCTAACGATGTGAACGTGCTTCACATTACTGTCTGTACACTTGAAATTGGTTCAGATGGTAAATGTTACATGTGTTGTACCACAATTACAAATAAAAATTTTAAGAGGAAAAAAGTCACTAGTGGCCCCTTACTGCTCTGCTCGCTCTGTCTGTGGCGGAAGTAAAGGCTTTGTGTCCGGCAATGAGCACAGCCAGATGGCGGCACCCCAAGCCCCCCTCCTCTTTCCCTCAAAGGTGGGCTTCCTGCCTCTAGCCTTGTGCAGTGAGACCCAAGCAGGTGCTGGAGAAAACCTTTTCATCTCATCCACCGGGTCTGCCTCTCTGACCCGCATTATTTTAGCCAAGGGCTGTTTCCCTGCGACTCTACATTTTGGGTTTTGTTTTTGCTGCTTCGTCAAATGGGGAACAGGGACCCGTTCTCGCCATACCAGGACGGTGCTTCTGTGAGTTGTTTTCCTAGCGGTGGTGACAGATGAGCCATGACTCAGGGCAGCACTTTCACCTGCTCTCCCCTGAAACAAAGGCGTACATTTGAATGCAGACTGTGTGGAGTGAAAGGCCGTTGCAAGGTTGGGGGGTGGGGGAGGGGGTGGGGAGGGGTGGGGAGGGGTGGGGGAGGGGTTGGTCCTGGCTTCCTTCACATCTTCCGAACAACCCCGATGGATCAGGCTGCTCACAGACATTCCATTTATTATTTTGACAGGGATTCTGGGCACCTGTTGTTTCTTCAGGTAACTGACATGAAACCTTCGTTTAATGGGTGTTAAAGCTTGACCGAGTTTACTCCTATTTCTGCTTTTCAGGATCATTTCATGGACTCACTCCTCTCACTTGCTAACCATGCTGCCTTGCTCCCAGGACCCTGTCAAGTCGACTGACCATTAATCTCCCTCAGCGCACAGACCAGACTGCAGGTAAATCCTGCTCATGGGAGCTGCGGTTCATGTCTAGTTGCGTGACTGTGATTTAGGGGATTAGTAAAGGTTTAATTATTTGTTCCCATTATTTGCGTTTTAAACTGTGTTTGATAATTGTCACCAAAGAAACGTCAGCCCTTTTGAATTTTGTGGCTGTACGTTCTTAGGTACAAAAGAATTAAAATGAAAAGCCTGCTACATATATTTGGAGACATGAGTGGAAGCATCGCCTCCAACTTGCCTCAAACAGTGATACTGGTTAAAATAAAAAACTGAGGGTGGGGTGGGGGGGGGGAGGTTTGGATCAAGTTTCACCTTGAATTTGGCTTAACTAATAGACTCCTTAAGCAAATTGGGGTGTTAAAGGGAATTGAAAGAATCTAACCGTTTTTTTTTTTAATACCCACATTCTAACAAGTCAGCTTCAGACTTTTTTCTGTCATCAGGTCCTAAAGTGAGAACCCTGAAAGTCTTTAGAAAAGCTCTAGAGATGGTTCATTAAAATGTTTTTCTGTCCCAAATGAGAGCTTGTATTTTCCTCCCCTTTTTTCCATCTCAGTTTAGTTTTTGAGAACTTCTAGGCCTTATCCTTTTTGATATCCTACTCTGTGTGGTACATGAAAGTTCCAACATAGTATGGTACTCAGAGTCATGTTATTACAAATGTGGTCATTTTTCAGCAGTAATCACTTATATTGGGGTATGGTATGAACTCTTCCAGTAGCTTATGTATAATGAAAATACATCTGTGTGGTCACTGAAAAATCATTATATTGGAGTGACAGAGTAAAGATATTTTTCCCTCATTTTTCTCTTCAAGAATCATTGGTTCAAAACCTCCCAATACCACGCCTATAGGAGGTCTCTTGTCTTAAGCTGATTCCTATGCCTGTTCAGTTTCTGAATTAACATCAGACAGCAGATTGTGCGCTTAAAATCACCAGCACAGGAGCGGGCAGTACTGTTTATCTGGCTGATGACCTGCATTTTAGGAGGAGAACCAATTCCGTACGTCACTCTTGTCCCTACGTCTCTGAGTTGTGTCAGGTTCAGAAAGAAGTTGCTTGGTTCCTTTGTCATGTGAAGAACGTAGTTTTAGAAAGTTCTGTCATAGTGGAAGGTAATTTAGGTCGTGAGTCTTACCAATGCTACTGTTCTTAATTTAGGTTAAAATGGGGAACTCCGAGAGTCAGTACACCCTTCAAGGATCTAAAAATCATAGCAATACTATTACTGGTGCTAAGCAAAAGCCTTGCTCCCTGAAAATCCGTGGCCTTCATGCAAAGGATGACAAGTCATTGCACGGATGGGGTCACGGAAGCAGCGGAGCCGGGTACAAGTCCAGGTCGCTGGCCCGAAGCTGCCTTTCTCACTTCAAGAGCAATCAGCCTTATGCATCCCGACCAGGTGGCCCTTCGTGTAAAGTCTCCAAAGGCAGTGCCTACTCCAAGCACAGGACAAATGCCTCGGCATCGGATTTCCAGGGCAACGATGCTGCTTTCTCCCCCGAGAACGGCTTCCACTACGTCGGGCACCCACCGGCGGATAACCACGCGGCCTCGAGGGACTGCAATGGGCACCTTCTCAACTGCTACGGCAGGGACCAGAGCGTCGCGTCCACCCCTCCCAGCGAGGACCGCAAGAGCCCCAGGGTGCTTATCAAGACACTGGGCAAGCTGGACGGGTGCCTCCGGGTGGAATTCCACAGCGGCGGCCAGCACAGCGCCGCGGCCCCGGGGGCCTCGGGCGGCCCCGTGCGGCTCCTGCGCTACTCGGCCGGCGCCCCGCCCAGCCCGCGCGCCTCCCCCGCCGCCACCGCCGCCGCCGCCACCGTCGCGCGCCCGCGCTCCAGCAAGGGCAGCTCGCTCAGCTCCGAGTCCTCCTGGTACGACTCGCCCTGGGGCCCGGCCGGCGAGGTCAGCGAGGCCGAGGGCTCCTTCGCGGCGCCCGGCACACCGGAGCCCGAGCCCGGCCTCCACGCCGGCTTCCCGCCCAGGGATGCTCCAAAGCCTTTCAGCCAAAGCGCCTCCCTCTCGTCCCTCCGGGAACCCTACCCGGACGCCACCCTGGGGAGCCTGGCACCCGCGGCCCTGCGGCTCTCCGACGACTACATGGGCACGCGCGCCAGCCTCAGCGCCCGCGTCTCCTTCGCCTCCGACATAGACGTGCCGGCCCGCGTGGAGCGCGGGGAGCCCGGGCAGTTCGCCTCCTTCACCCTTCCCTGCCGCAAGTCCAGGGCCCTGAGCGAGGAGCCCTCCAAGAAGGACACCCTGAAAGCCAGGATGCGCCGCATCAGCGACTGGACGGGAAGCCTCTCCAGAAAGAAAAGAAGACTCCAGGTGAGTCAGGCTTGGAGCGCCAGGAAAGATGCTCTTCTGTTTTCTATCTGCAAAATGGGGAAGTTAGAAGAAGCTACTGCAGAGCGTGTCCTGAGGCTTGAATGAACTCGTGAGAGTGAAGAGTTTAGCCTAAGCCACGGCACATCTTGTTTGCAGGTGTATGTGCGTGTGTGTTTTCTTTCTTTCCTTTTGCTTCAGATGTGCATTTTCCTTCTTACCCCTCGACTTCAGTCTCCCGGATTCTGTCCAGTCTCGTCTCCTGGACTCTGGTATGAACCCCACAGGCCGCATCCCAAGACCTGGCCAAACGGTTCTTAGAAAAGACAGTGTTGGAGAGACTTCCCCAATGAATTGGTTATCTGAGTATTTTGCTAGAGCTCATTGTTAAAGCCTAAACAGAAAGGAAGAGAGAGAGATCGTTGTCATTTTTGGATGAGTAGCCTTGCTGAGCTCAGTATTACTTTGGAGAAATTAAAATTCCTGTTGTTCAGTTGGTACATCAGGAAAAAAAATGTGGGTGATCTATCTATATGTATAATCTCACCACCTCCTCATGGGGCAGCTAACAGTTTTGAAAACATCTTGACCTAAGTACGTGGAATAGCAAAAGTATGATGATGTTGAGAAAATAAGAATCATGATGATGACAGTAACCCTTTTAATGGGCATATAAAGTTTGAATGGGGGAAACAAAATGACTTCGACATCAGGAAGGAAAGTAATAGTTTGCCTTCTTAGGTAACGGGATTTCTAGGTTTTCAGTTGCTTGCTCTTTGTTTGTTTTTACTTTTAATCATTTATAGAAGGGAGAAAGTGTTTTGTTTTGTTTTTTTAACTCAATATAAGTCAGATTGTTAAAGGAAATTTGAGTGACCAGTTTGTCTCTAGTAGAATTGCATTTAAACCATCCTAGATAGATATATACTTATGAAATTGCATAGAGCTTTAGGGATAGAAAATAACTTCCCTGAGCAGATTGTTTCAGATCTATGAAATTTACCATTAGTTATTTCCTTCTTATGTATGAGGTGCATGCCCCCTGCCCCCAGATTGTACTTTGTGCCCTTTTCTCCTCCTCTACACAGAGACGAAGAATAGATGACTGTTGTCCTATTACAGAACTCTTCATACCCCTGAATATAGTCATTTGCTCCCTCCTTACTTGTTACTTCTTCATGCTAAACTGCTAAGTGCTGTAGTAGAGATTTCTTTGACCTTTTTTTCTCAGCTGCCATTTCCCAAACAACTGACAGCAGTCAAGCGTAATTGGAGAGAGAACTCCTACTTTCTGGGGAGCTGCAGTCCCACACAGACAGCTTTCCCGTCTTTTTGATGCAAGTGTTGTGTTGTCGACTAGTGTTCAGCTCTCGTCTCCTGTGGCCCTTAAGCCTGTTCCTCCACATCTCTTATTTGCATGTTTCTCATCTGTGCTTGTGGCCTGGCTTACACCCGGCTCTGCTGTGTCTCATTCCGTTTCCATTCAGGTCCAAAGCAGACCCTTTGCCACTGTGAATTGACCATATTCTGCCCCATGCAGGACCTCGCTGCCCAGCCACCCTGGGAAGTGAACCTCCTTCAAGTCTGTATCATCCAAAGATTTAACTGGATGATCTGTAAGCCTGTGTAGTTAAGAACAGACGGGTTACGATCAAAGAATCTGAATGTGATAGCTAGAAAGGACTCCCTCTCATTTTAAAATGAAGAAACTAATATTCAAGGAGTTTGAAGACACATGGCTCATTAGGGGAGAAGCCAGGGCCAAAGCCACTTCTGCTAAAGCTCAAAGGTGTGCGTTTTCCACCTAGCCGCATGGCCAAGGTACTGTTGATAGCCACTAGTAATTACTTTGGGGTTACTGAATATTAAGATAATAAACTATCTTGTATTTTTGAAAAGTGGCCTAGGAAGGCAGCTTTTGAGTTTTGCTTGTGTCAAACTTCGATAATTTATAAAGGTGAGCAAAATGTACTTTTTTGGTAAGTGTGCCACTTCCGTTGGCCACGCCTTTGCTTTTTTGTTCTTTTTTTTTGTTTGGCTGCACCGTGCAGCTTCTGGGATCTCAGTTCCCTGACGAGGGATTGAACCCGAGTCACCAGGCCACCAGGGAACTCTGGCCTTTTTTTTTTTTTTTTTTTTTTTTTTTTTTTTGTGGTATGCGGCCCTCTCACTGTTGTGGCCTCTCCCATTGCAGAGCACAGGCTCAGCGGCCATGGCTCACGGCCCCAGCCTCTCCGCGGCATGTGGGATCTTCCCAGACCGGGGCACGAACCCATGTCCCCTGCATCGGCAGGCGGACTCTCAACCACTGCGCCACCAGGGAAGCCCTGGCCTTTGTTTTTCTTTTACAGTTGAACGTGAAGACAAAGTTTGGATCCTTAAAAAATGTAGTCAGTGCATAGGAGCAAAGTTTGTGACAGAATACTATAGTAAGGACCAAATGCTTATCCTCTTACACACGCAGACTTCTGTATGCCAGCAGGGCTTAGGCTTGGAAAATCTTCCTATGATGGGTAGACATATTTGTTTTGACTTTGTAGAAAAAAGTGACGTAAAAAGAGCAGTCCTTTTTTTTATAGGGTTTTCAGCCACTCTGGGGAGTTAGAGCCTGAAAGCAGATGAATCAGTGGAAAAACTTACATAGCTGAGAAAGAATATCACACTATTCAAAGCTAGAGGGAGGGGGAGGGAACACACATGTGCTGTAGAAGGGCATGTGTTTGATGCTGGTAAGCTATTCACATTAATGCAGCCTTGCTGAGACCTGTGAGGCCTTGCTCCCGTCCTGGGTAAACTTTCCATTCTGTCAGTCAGGGTGGGCTAGGTTATGCGGAGGTAACAAAAAGCCCGCAGTTCTCTGAGGTTTAGCGCAAGCGAAGTCTTTGTCTCATTCAAGCTGCAACTCTGGTCGGCATTGTTCCTCTCTGGGACCCCAGGTCCACAGAGCAGTTACCATCTGGCACACCGCAAGCCTCTGTGGCAGAGGGAGAAAGAACCGTGTGTTGGCTTTTGAAGCTCCCACTCAGGGGTGACACGTTTCACCTCTGTTTGCATTTATTGGCCAAAGCAAGCCACGTGGCCTTGCCTAACTCCAAGGGAGGGGGGTGGGGAGTGGGGAATGGTCCTGCCGTGTACCCTAGGGGAGGACCAGATATATTTGAGGGGTAGCAGTGACTACTGCTGCAGGGTTTCTTACAGAGGAGATTCAGGACACAGAGACTCCGGCTTTCTGACCATCTTAATTTTAGGCTCTCACTGCCCTTTGAGGGCTACATAGTCACAGGGAATTTCTGCAGAGGACCAGTGGCCATTACTGTGAAAAGGACAATAGCATACGAAGAATGACATAGTAAATTTGGTACTTTTTCCTAGAGAGTGAGGAATGGTGATAAGAGTTTTCCTTTAGCTCCAAAGGAATTAGTGACATCTCTTGAATTCCTCTCTACTCTTTGCTGTAGTGCTCTTGTCATCGTTATGTTATCCATTGTTTACGATTATCCAGTGGGGGTGGAAATGGAAATCAGACTTCTTTATGTACATGTCTAACATAGCACCTTAGTTTCACACCCATAACACAGTGATCAGGAAATCCAGCTCTGACTATTTAGGAACTGTCCTCCCTCCCTCCCTCCCTCCCTCCCTCCCTCCCTCCCTCCCTCCCTCCCTCCCTCTCTCTCTCCCTCTCCTTCCTTCCTTCCTTCCTTCCTTCCTTCCTTCCTATTAGCCTGAAAATGAGTCACTAGCTATTAGGATTCTAGATGTGAAGCTTTACAAATTTATTAGAGACCAGGAAAGTTCATGTCTGTGTATAAGAATCAGTTATGGATGCTAAAATGCGATCTTTCTCCATTTGTCAAGGAGGAAAATTTGTCTTGCGTTGCTCCAGTTGAACAGTTAGAAGTTAGCGCTGTGACTTTAAGTCTCCCTCTTATGAGGAACAGTGTCAGGAGTACTAACAGGTTACATTTAAGTTTGCCACTTGATGCCTTTCTCTGGCAGGGCTCTGCTTGGTTTGAAACACCCCATTATAGCTCTAGCTGGGTACCAGAGGCAATCCCAGTGTTTTGGGGCTGTGAGTCAGAGACTCCTATTTATAGCTGAAATAATGTCAATACTAGCTAAATTAGAAGTATTCCTTCATCTCCTAAGAACTTTTGAAGAGCAACAAAGTGACAATTGAAAAAAAAAAAAAAAAAACCCTTAAACTATGTTGAAAGTTTCCTGTCCAAGTGACTCACCACAGCTGGCTTATTTGCTCTGTTCTTGCATAAGCATCAGTGTATAAATAAATCTGATTATGGGACATAGTATATAAACAGAGCGGAAGATAATATTTTCATTAGTAACAGCTATGTTTGGGGCTTAGTTGCTTGTAGCCCTTGGGTGTTTAGAAGCACTTTTCTATTGATGATTTTCCTGCAAAAGATAGCAGCTAATTGCAACTTGATTTCTGGATGAAGTTTCTGAAAAGAAAACCCCTCCACACAGGGGAATATTCAAAATAAGGTCTTTAGTCAATGGTCCTTGATCCTGTTTTCCCTCCTTTTTATTTTAATGGAGAAGGAAAACCCACTAGCCTCTGAGTAGATGAGTATTAGAGTCTCTCTGCAGAGTTACCTTAATTTAAGCTGTAAGTTTGGAATGTCAGTGTCTTTTAAGTCATAAATTAGCTCACTTTCTGCTGAAAAATTTCCTTACTGCTATTGACCAATGAATGGCCTCTATGCAAGTTATTCTTCTTGAATGTCTAGACTTCTAATCTAGACGTTAGAGGAAACCTTTGTGTTTTCATCTCTGTACATGGCCAATTCACTGTTCAGTGCATGTTGTCCTAAGGGGGGCAGCGGTTATTAGAATAAATATTAATTTTATTTAGAACTGCCTGTGTCTGATTTTGTGGCAGAATAAATATTAAAGAATCATGCTTTGGTATTGCCAGTGCTTAAAATAGATGTTCAAATAAAACAATGTGAATGAATTAATAGTACATTCCTTTCACGAAAGAATTCCAAAGTAAAAAATATTTGTTACGAAGTAAAAGCTACAGTTGGTAACCACTACCCTTTGTGGATAAGGAACCCCAGGTGCGTGGTTTTCACTGTCCATAGAGGGAAAATACGATGCTAGAGATCTCAGTGTCTAGACCTTGGAAGGGGGTGAGAAGCTGAGACTGTTCACTGTGGGGAGGGGAAGAAAAGTTTGTATAAACCACGCCCTCCTTGAGTCTGGAACTAGTGCTTGTCTAATTTAGCTTAAAAATGATCCAGAAGAAAAACAAGACTGCAAGAAGACGAATTCTTTCCCGGAAGATACTGATTCTCAATTAGCAAAGAAGGATCGGTCCAGAAATCGTCGCTAGTGTGTTTTGAATATACTAGTTCATTGATGCTAACTGTGGGTTAGATTTAGGACAGTCAGGGTTATTTGGTTTACATTTTTTAAGCATTGATTCCACAGGCTATACGTTGGGTTGAGCAATACTGTTTCTATAATTCTTTCTGATTTGCAGACTTGATGGTTAAAGATGCATTAGGAAAAAAAAAAAAGAATCTTGCTTTGCAGCAGTAGTATTAGCAAACCACACTATTAACACGCATGCCGTATTGGGGAAGGGGTGCTTTGGTCATATGTAACCTCTGATGGGTGGTCATCTGTGTTGCTCACAGGAGCCGAGATCCAAGGAGGGCAGTGACTACTTCGACAGTCGCTCGGATGGGCTGAATGTGGACGTGCAGGGACCCTCCCAGGCATCTGCATCCCTGTGGTCAGGGGGCTCGGCTCAGATCCTGTCCCACAGAAGCGAATCCGCTCACGCGATCGGCAGCGATCCCCTCCAACAGAACATTTACGAGAATTTCATGCGAGAGCTGGAAATGAGCAGGACCAACACGGAGAACCTCGAAACGTCCACAGAGACCGCCGAATCCAGCAGCGATTCGCTCAGCTCTTTGGAGCAACTGGACCTGCTCTTTGAGAAGGAACAGGGGGTGGTGCGCAAAGCCGGGTGGCTCTTCTTCAAACCCCTCGTCACTCTGCAGAAGGAAAGGAAGCTGGAGCTGGTGGCTCGGAGGAAGTGGAAACAGTACTGGGTGACACTTAAAGGTAAGTGATCGTCACCACCCAGAGAGCCCCTGGGGTCCTTTCCTCCGCTGTCCTCTTTCCTAGGAAGTGTCAGTGAGTGCGGTGTTGACCTGAGTTCACGTGAAGGCATCTGATCCAGAACCTACCAGCCTGTTTTCCTACAAATACCTTCTCAAACCTGTATAATATGCCTCACTTAACATTCGTATACATTATTCATTCTCATAAGTAATGATTGAATTTAATAACTATTGCTCATTATTTTATAGGTATTTCTGTACCATTCTTTTAATACTTTTCCTGCATCTGGGGGTGGGAGGGGAGCCCCAAATAAGTTACCAAACGTAGTTTAGTTATTTGGAATACAGATCATGAATTTCTGTGCGTGTTCAAAACTCCAAAGAGGTATCCTTCCCAGCTTGTACAACTCAATTTCATCTGCATTATTTGATTTGTGTCACCTCGCCTCTATGAACTGAGAGTCTAACTGTCGTCACCAACAAATGCTTTTTTTTCTTCTTTTTTTGATGCAGAGGAAATAGGAGAAAGCATTTGCTTTGTTAAGACGATAAAGTTTTCTCGCAAGCATTTGCCACTTAAAAAATTATAATCGCCTCGCTCATGGTGGATGGATAGATTATTTGAAGTGATCTAAGGCTCTGAGTCAGCATCATGTTGATTTATACAGACGTGAACACAGAGCAGTCCCACAGCCTCTGGCATTTCTTCACAGCTGTCCTGTGACTCTTTGTCAGCGGAACCTGGTGTGGTTCGCAAAGTCAAACCTCATTAGCGGCCACCACCCTTCCTTGTCACGGGAGAAGGCAGAAACAGAAATCACGTCTGCACGCAGCGAGTGTGGAAGGCCCGGAGCTGTCTGCGGCGCTCCCCGTATTTAGAAATTGTGAGCCTTGGGGAGCTGGCGTCAATTCACAATTACCCAGAAGCCCCTCTCCGGGCAAGGTGCACCCGCGAAGGCATCTCCTCTCCTTTCCCTAGCAAACTGGAGGGTTTATAAAACCCAGGACCCAGCATCCCACACGGATGCAGTCCTCTTTTCCAACTTCTGCATTTGGATCCTTGCGATACCTTGTGGCTGAGGAGGGCAAAGAGCTTACCCAGCTTGGGTGTACTGGAGAAGGTGGGGTTTTCTACTGGATGACGGAAGAGATTTGGAAGGTTGGAATTACGGGTCACATCCAGCAAGATAACATTTTGAAGGGATAAGTGATGCTTTAAGGTTTAATAACCAAAGAGCTACCCAAGTACAGGATAGGGAGGTATAGCCGCAAAGTATTCCAAGTGAAAAAGATTTGAGGGTTTGATTTGCAGGCCATTCACAGTGGGTTTCCACTGTGATGAGGCTAAAATGAAGGTAAATGTGATTTAAAGAGCACACATGGTTGTTGGCCACATCATTAGAGGTGTCATGTCGTCTGCAGCTCCATCATTCCCCCCTGCCTCTGCCCTGGTCAGAGTTGGCCGTTTCTCTCCTTAGGGGCAGGATATTGCAGGAGACTTGTTCATAAACGAGCCAGTGGGTCTTGTAAAAGTTCCAGCTGAAGAGGGGAGTGAAAAATGTCCCCTCAGGGGAATGAGCGTCTGGAATTGTTTGTGACTCAAAGCCTGAAGCTGCATCCTGTTCGTGCGGTATTTAGAATGGGTGCACTGAATTCTAGAATGTGTCATGCATAGGATGTGTCAGTCTTGTAAAAGAGACACTGAATTTATTCTGGTTCATCTGAGGTTGGGATAAGACTAATAAATGGAAGACAAGCTGATTGTGAATTAATGTAAAAAATACAACAGTAAAACAACAAACAAACCCACTGCCTCTTCCTGAGTTCCCTGCTACTGGAGACATTTGTGCAACGCCAGAGTGTTGGAGGCTTCCTGGGGGAAGTTCAGGCAGGGATCACTGAAGTTTGGAAGAGGGTGTCTCCAGGACCCTGTCCTCCATCCTGGCAGCTTCCCCGGGGAACTTCTGGTTGCCGACTTCGGGGGCAGGGATGGTCCTGACTTGTCTCTGATGATTGCAAGACCCACAGTCCTTCCTGGGCCCTTGCTGGTTAAGCACTTGAAGACCCGTGGATAAAGGGTGCTTTGTAGGGGTAAATGTTATAAAGCACACATCCCTTTGTTTCCTTTGCAGCCAAGGAAAGGCATGGGATAGAGATGTTTTTTTCCCAGCATAACCTTTTCCATGTGGTTTTCTACACCTCTTTCCTCTGGGAATTCAATATGTTGAATTCAACTTTCTTGGCTTAGAATCCAAGTTGTAATATTTGGACTTAACTGTTTCATTTAATCATAGTTAAAAACATATATGTGTATATGTACACACACACACACACGTACATTTAAGCAGAATTTTTAAATTATCCTTGGAGTTTCTATGTAACTAAAGTAGAAAGAGTGTTTTTCAGAGACAGCGGCTATCAGCCAACCATCTGGTTGCCCACCTACATCGAATGTATAGGTATGCTAAGGGCGCAAATGTTTTTTAGGGTTCGGAGGATGTAATAAATTTTTAACAAGGGTAATTCTGCTTTCCATCTGTCTTTTCCAATGAGTGGATTTTCGTGCGGTTCACAGGGAACTTCCTGGGCAGAATAGTTGGCAAGGGGGTTAAAGCTGTCCCTCAAAACACACAGTACATAACCGAGGTCAGGAGGGGTGTTCATAAAGGAAGTTTAAGAAGCTGGTCATTCTGCCTGTGACAGGGGAGGACGGATGAGTGTGGGTTGAGAAGGTGGATTTGAAGGGAGACCGAGACTAATTTCTCTCCTTTCACTGGTGATATTTCTAGTAATACAGCCTCTCCTGCTTCCAGTGCTGTCCTGATCTGTTTCCTCTTTTTGCTTCCACTGACAACTGCCCAGGCTGACACCAGCTCCTGGGGTTGGGGGGGTGGACAGGGCAGGGCTGACGGCCACAGCATTGGGGGGTGGGGTGGGCACAGGAGGCTCTGCTGACGTGGGCGCGCAGCCCCTTTCCATCAGCCTCATTGCCCCCGCTTCAGAGATGCAGATTAAGTTAAACTCGATGTAACAGACTTAAGACTGATTTCCTGTTCCTTAAATTCGATAGCAACAGAATTCTGCAAATTGTTTGACATACTGGTCTGGTTCTAAAGCGAAATGGCCTGTTTTGGTTTCACGCTTCCGCGGGAGAGCTGCGTGCTGTCACGGTGGGGCGTAGGGGGATGTTAGGGTTGGCAGTGTTCTGGCATCTGCCCAAGATTGCGTTCATTTCCTCTAGATGCCGCGATTCAAACCACCGCCCCTGGGAGCTCAGTGTTAGGGGCGCTGGGAAGTGAACATTAACCCTTTGGAAAGAATTGGGAGTTGGGTGGAGCTGGTGCTGCTCTGTTGTCCTCGGGTCCCATGGTCATGGGATGTCGCACAGGCTTTTCCCGATGGAAAGACTTGGGGACTGTTTCTAAGTCCATTCGTGGCTGGAAGAAAAGACAGGCTCAGACCTGCCGCAGTAGCTCTGGCCATAAACCTCTTGCTCCTTTCCCTTGTTCTAAGAGGCTCTCACAGCTTCTGTGTTTGGGTGAGTTTTGATTGTGGGAGGAGAGATCGCTCAGTGCTTCTTGAGATCAGAAGGTACCATGGAGGGAGAAAGCGCTGTCGTGAGCCAGGGTCCTGCGTTTTTGGATCCTGGCTTCTGTGCTATGCTGGGCTCCATTATATAAACTTGTGCGTCCAAATTAAGATCTGTTTTCAAGGGAAGAAGTGAAACTGGTAAGAGTGAGATAGTTTTCAAAACATGGAAACTTTTATGAATGAAGGCTCATAATGCAGTAGGGTAAAGCAGCCATGAAGTGGACCCCATCCATTTACAGTGCAGGGGAAAGCAGGCTACTGCTTCATTAACTGTCAGCGTGAAACGTATTGCGTTGGCCAAAAGGTTCATTTGGGTTTTTCCGTAACATCTTATGGGAAAACCGGAATGAACTTTTCGGCCAGCCCAATATTTTCAAAGCAAGGGATGGTGCCCATATCATGATGGTACCATATCACTTACCAGCACATGAGAAGCGCTCAGAAATGTTGATTGGTTGAAGGTTTTAAGGGATATTCAACAAGTAAACATACTTGTGAGTATTTTAGAATTTGCTTAAAAATTACGTCTCATGAGCTTCCCTGGTGGCTCAGTGGTTGAGAGTCCCCCTGCCGATGCAGGGGATATGGGTTCGTGCCCCGGTCCGGGAAATTACGTCTCATTAGAAAGCATTCCTATCGAATTATCAAAACAGATTCCTAGTAACTTCTGCCTAGAATATCTTATTAGCTTATTAGGGGAAAGCTATGTACCTGTAAGCATATGTAGCGGCACTTTAGGGTAATGTTTTAAAATACAGGGACATGTAGCTTCATTTTCCTCTCAGTCTAAATTAGCAAGATGGTAGTAATATTTCCTATCACTGTGAGATAAGAGAATATATTAAAATTAAGTTATTCTATGTGGCATTTGGAGAATAAACTGGGTACTTTCTCACAAATGGCAAAGTGCCCCAGGAGAACTCGGTTTCTTGTGACCCCACATTTTAAGTGTAGAAGTTCGCTTAGTTAATGAATACGGGGTTTTCTTCTGTCTCCTGCGTTTAGATCTCCTAAGAAGTGTGGTGCTGTGGTTATGAAGGAGGCACTCTGTGGTCAGCGTGCCCGGGTTCAGATCCTGCTCCACTGCAGTCCAGCTATGGGACCTGCAAAGTGGTGTAAACTCTCAGGCTTTCCATCTGTAAAATGGGACTAATAACTGCGCCTGCCTTCTAAGGCTGCTTTGGGCACCAAATAAGCCAGAGCATGTGAAATACTTAGAAGAATTCCTGACACAGAGTAAGCAACAATAAATGCTTGCTATTGTTATCACCATTATTACCTTTACAAGAAACATCTCATTTTCATCTGGGTTGATGCTAACACAACTAGGCATAATTTAGATACCAAAATTCCTTTTGTGATAGAAAGTCTTATTCAGTCATTTTCTTTTTTCTTTTCTTTTCTTTCCTTTCCTTTTTCTTTTATTTTCTCGTCTTTTCTTTCTGTCTCTCTCTCTCTCTTTGTTTTCCTCCCTCCTTCCCTTCCCCTTCCTTCCTTCTGTCTGTCTGTATCCTTTACTTCTCATTCCTTTCCTGGATAGATCCTCGGGACATGTGATGAGGACAGTGCTTCTCTCTTTCACAGGATGCACCCTGCTGTTTTATGAGACCTACGGGAAGAATTCCATGGATCAGAGTAGTGCCCCTCGGTGTGCCCTGTTTGCAGAAGACAGCATAGTGCAGGCCGTCCCAGAACATCCTAAGAAGGAAAATGTCTTCTGCCTCAGCAACTCCTTTGGAGATGTCTACCTTTTCCAGGTACTGCCAGGCTTTCTTTTTTTACTTTTTATTAGTTATCTATTTTATACGTATCAGTGTATCCATGTCAATCCCAATCTCCCAGTTCATTCCCCACCACCACCCCTCCCACCACTTTCCCCCCTTGGTGTCCATACGTTTGTTCTCTACATCTGTGTCTCTATTTCTGCCTTGCAAACCGGTTCATCTGTACCATTTTCCTAGATTCCACATATATACGTTAATATACGATATTTGTTTCTCTCTTTTTTTTTAAAAAATAAATTTATTTATTTTTGGCTGCATTGGGTCTTCGTTGCTGCACGTGGGCTTTCTCTAGTTGTGGCGAGCGTGGGCTACTCTTCATTGTGGTACATGGGCTTCTCATTGCGGTGGCTTCTCTTGTTGCAGAGCACGGGCTCTAGGCACGCGGGCTTTGGTAGTTGTGGCTCACAGGGTCTAGAGCACAGGCTCAGTAGTTGTGGCGCACAGGCTTAGTTGCTCTGCGGCATGTGGGATCTTCTCGGACCAGGGCTCGAACCCGTGTCCCCCGCATTGGTGGGTGGATTCTTAACCACTGCGCCACCAGGGAAGTCCTGTTTTTCTCTTTCTGACTTACTTCACTCTGTATGACAGTCTGTAGATCCAACCATGTCTCTACAAATGACCCAATTTCGTTGCTTTTTATGGCTGAATAATATTCCACTGTATATATGTACCACACCTTCTTTATCCATTCATCTGTCGATGGGCATTTAGGTTGCTTCCATAACCTGGCTATTATAAATAGAGCTGCAGTGAACATTGGGGTGCATGTGTCTTTTTGAATTATGGTTTTCTCTGGGTATATGCCCAATAGTGGGATTGCTGGGTCATATGGTAATTCTGTTTTTAGTTTTCTTAAGGAACCTCCATACTGTTCTCCATAGTGGCTGTATCAATTTACATTCCCACCAGCAGTGCAGGAGGGTTCCCTTTTCTCCACACCCTCTCCAGCATTTGTTGTTTGTAGATTTTCTGATGATGCCCATCTGCTGAGCTTTCTAAATGGAGGGTGGAGGCGATGGCTTGTGTCCTGCTAGGATGAGAAGGACCAGAATTAAGAGGCACAACTTAGCAATTTGAAATAGACTCAAAGCTGTCAGACTTTGGATTAAGGTTTAAGCAAGAAAATTGGCCTCTGCTGACTGCCAGGTACCGCAGGGTCGCTGGAAATGCAGCCATTCATCCAGCGAACGCTTCTTGGATGCCTGCCCCTGAAATGCCAGGCTGTAGCCCCTGGGCTGCCCTTCAGGATACAAAGAGAGAAAAATTACCGTCCTGTTCTGGACTAGTCCGTGATCTAGTGAGTACAAGATCCGAAGTTCCCAGAGTGGAAGTTTTTAAGTGAAAACCCAGAGAAAATGGACAGTAGAGGCTTAAGTTCTTCCCAGGAATCCCAGTGGAAGTGAAGAAGCTTTTTAGGAAAACCCTCATTGACAAATACTATAGGGTCTCATTACCCTGTGGAGGTGGTCTTAGGACGTTAAGATTCAGGTTATCTACTGTTGTGATTCTTAGAATCTTTCTAGCAAAGGCGGGGTCAGGCTGAGCTGTGGGTCCTGGTGCTCTCGTTGAGTCTGCAGTCATCTTGCAACACTTAACTTCTCTGAGCTTCAGACCCTTCAACCCGTAGGATAATAATAGCTTCTAGGATTGTTTTAAGGGTAAACAGTATGATTAGGCGTGTGTTAAGTGCTAAAGAAATTCTAACTGTTATGACTGTTGTTATTATGAATTAACTCCAGAGAAATGGGGGTGAGAGCCAGGAAGTGAAGTGTGCTTCTGAAATGCCTCCGAATCCAAACCCAGTACTGGGTGTAGACACGACGTGAGCTGCAGATTCTGTGTGGCTGGAAGCTTCATGGAAACCCTCCTAGGTCCTCGATTCAGGTCTCTGATAAACTTGGTCCTGGCTGCCCCCAGGGCCCCTGTAGAACAATATTAGTTGTTTTGGGCCCCTTTGATTCTAGATTCTTTGGAATCTAGAATTGTGTGAAGTGTTTTGGGCAATAGGATTTCCCAGCACTAACCTGGTAAAGGCCCTGGGCCCCTAGCCTTACTGCTGTCCTCCACCTGACCTGACTGAAAAGAGTTTGATTTTCCTTCTTTTAACAGAAAGGTTCGCTTGAACTTTCTGTGGTGCTTTAAAGCTAAGTAACAAACTGGTGTTCGTATGAATTGTAGGAAAGGTAAATACGTTGGATTAAATCTGCATGGACTTAGGGGGAGGTATGAAATGAATATTTTATTTTGTGATTCAGGATAAATATCCTTAGTTTTTAAGAAATTTTCCCGGTAGTTCCCATTGTGCGATCCCCCAGGTCACTGGAGGATTAACCTCGCGGTGTGAACGTGTGTGGTTACCTCTGGGCATCAGGGGAAACTGAACGTGCGTTTCAGCCTGCTTAGAATCATACATCTTTGCCCATTCTGCTTTGTTCAGACCTTCTTTACTGTTTTTAAAATAAAATATTCTTATATGAAAATACTATATGGTCATTGTGTCTGAAGGTACTGAAGGGTAGAAAAAGAAAACCGCTATCCATATTCCCAGTATTCACAGACGACTATTTTAATATTATTGTGTCCTCCCCAAAATGTTCTTTTATTGTTATTTTCCATAATTGAGTCCATACCATAGATGAAATTTCATATCCAGGCTTCACAATGTAACCATTTAGTCCTAATATTTTCTCATCGTATTAAAATTATGGCGATAAACCGCTTTTTAGAGAGCCGCGTGATGCACGCTGCATGGATATGCCCTGGTTTTCTTATTCCTCCCCTATTGCTGGTGTACACCTTGATTCTATCAATAGCTTGTCTTCCCGTTCTATCTGGGGCCATGTGTCACTCTCGATGTTCTCACAGGCCCTCTAGAGTAAAGGAAACCTGTGGACCTGTGTTGAGTGTGTTTTTTTTTTTTTTTTTTTTTGCGGTACGTGGGCCTCTCACCGTTGTTGCCTCTCCCGTTGCGGAGCCCAGGCTCCGGACGCGCAGGCTCAGTGGCCATGGCTCACGGGCCCAGCCGCTCCGCGGACCAGGGCACGAACCCGTGTCCCCTGCATTGGCAGGCGGACTCTCAACCACTGCGCCACCAGGGAAGCCCTGAGTGTGTGTTTTTAAAATTAAACAGTTTTTACGAAGCGAAGGTACTTTGGGGATTTACATATTCAAGCCCAGCCTGCCACTTTGGAGAACACTTTTGTGGTGAAACAATTCCAAATCGCTTTTTTCCCCGTGTTTAGGCCACCAGCCAGACAGATCTGGAGAACTGGGTCACTGCCATCCACTCGGCCTGCGCATCCCTTTTCGCAAAGAAGCACGGCAAAGAGGACACAGTTCGGCTGCTGAAGAACCAGACCAGAAACCTCGTTCAGAAGATAGATATGGACAGCAAGATGAAGAAGATGGCGGAGTTACAGCTCTCCGTGGTGAGCGACCCAAAGAACCGGAAAGCCATAGAAAACCAGGTACAGGTTACTTACACGTGTTTCCTCCCATTGCTTAAGTCACTCAGGGCACACTCAGATGGGGGAACCGGTTCCTACACCTCTGCAGGGAGTAGTTTCTGTGGCTTTTTGGTTCAAGTACTTAATGTACTTGAGTACTTGAGTACTTACTTCAAGTACTTAATGGCTGCACTTTTGTCGTATGAGGGATGTGATGTGCTTTGCAGCCTTTGGTGGCTGTGTATGTGCACTGGGACATTTTGTGACCAAATCTTGTTCCCTTGTGTTGAGTAGCTCCTTGCCTGGATGATTCTCTCATATATTGGCACTTTCGGAACAAAATGTATATGATAAAACTGTTGGAAGATTAGACACATACGATTCTAATACAGAAGATGGCTGTGAAAGAGTAGTTTGGTATAATACAGCTATTCCTGTGTCTGTGGATTAGAAAAAAAACACTAATTTTTTGGTTTGTTTTTTCTGTTTATAACAGATAAGGTGCTAAGGAAGATGCTTTCTTTGGCCTGTCTCCACATTCACATCATAATTAAACAGCTACTTTCTATGCTGTTTGCATTTTAGAGGAGAGGGAGAAGCTTAGTTTCTGTTTTCCTTTACTCAGACAGCCTGAGCACTTACACAAGTGTCGGTGAAATTTCTAGCACCCCTCTCTTCATTCAGTTTACCTGGGAAACACACTGAGGTAGAGATTTGCATGTGAGGAGTTTTATTAGGACCGTTCTCAGGAGTAAGGGAGTGAGGGAGCGTGATTAAGGAGGGACTCATTGAATTGTGTTGAGCTGAGCCTACAGGGGGCTTGGGAGCTGGGGTGGCCATTCAGAATTGCTTGCTTCCAGTGAGGCATGTCGTGTCATGCCATGTCTACTGGTCAAAGCAGCTGCCTTCAGAGGAGGTGGGTTCCCATTCTTGCGCCGTGAGCAGCTAAGGGAAAGAATGCCTCTGTCTTGAAAGGGAGGTCTGGTGGTGCACAACAGTATCCACTACAGTCCCTTCAAAATCAGTGTCAGATGATTTGGGAACTTAAAGAGGGATAGGGCGAAGATGGGTTGGCGTGTTCCTGAATTTTTCATACTTTTTACTTTGTAAATTATAGAGAGACCAGGTTCTTTAAAAAAAAGTTCCATGGCAATACAACGATTTGGACACGCCATCGGAAAAGAATTTTCCCTATAGCATTTGATTTAAATCACAAATCAAACGGTACATCATCAATCTTCTATTTGTGTTTGAATATTTAACCTTGCTTAGAATTTTTTTTTCTGCCTGCATATATATGAAGAACTTAGAACGTATAGAAAGAAATGTCTGGCTGTAAATAAGAAACTGATGAAAGGCATGCATTCAAGTGTTATATTTGTGTTACACTAAGAATTTGGGATTTACCAATGGGCAAAATAACCAAGTAATTCCCACCTCTTGCCCCTTCATCAAGTATTTCTAAATGATGCCCAGTTGAGACAGACCTTCTGCTGACACCTGGATCCATCGTTGCCTTCTCCTTTTCTGATATCCTGTGTCGTCTTTCTCCCTTCCCAATTCTTCCCTCTCGCTTATTTGTCCATCTTCAGATATCGACATACCTAACAGATGCCTATAGCTTCAAAATATAAACATAATTATAAAATATGGACCCTGTTTCTAAAAAATATATTAGTTAGTTAGAAAGCAGGCCTCATAAACATGAAACTAAAGAATATTCTAGAATGGTATAAGTTAGTACCAACTAGCATAGTCTTCAAATGCTATGAGGCATCAGGGGTTGAGCTGTGCTGTGATCTAGAGGAGATGGAGGAGACTTCCTGGAAGCATATGGCCTTAAAAAATTGGTAAGAGGTGTGCTGGTATGAAGGCTGATCCAGGCTGGGAGGAGAGTGGGCTGCACGGTAGGACAGCTTGGAGGTATAGTTGACCTTTGAATAACGCAAGGATTAGGGGCTCCAACCCTCCAGTGTGTAACTTACAGTCGGCCCTCTGTATTCAGCCAACCACAATCGTGTGGTACTGTAGTATGTAGTATTTACTTAAAAAACATCTGCGTATAAGCGGACCCGTGCAGTTCAAATCCTTACTGTTCAAGGGTCAACTGTTGGAGTAACAGTGGTTGCTTGAGGCTCCTGAGCACGTGGGAGCAGAGGTGTGGGCTAAGAAGTGACGAATAGCTGGTGGTTTGGTGGGACAGGTACTGGTGCCGCTTTCTCAGGGTCTTAAAAGTAACCCTGGGATAGGGCTTCCCTGGTGGCGCAGTGGTTGAGAGTCCGCCTGCCGATGCAGGGGACACGGGTTCGTGCCCTGGTCCGGGAAGATCCCACATGCCGCAGAGCGGCTGGGCCCGTGAGCCACGGCCGCTGAGCCTGCGTGTCCAGAGCCTGTGCTCCGCAACAGGAGAGGCCACACAACAGTGAGAGGCCCGCGTACTGCAAAAAAATAAAAAAAAATAACCCTGGGATATAAGGTTTATTATAGGCTCTAGATCTAAGGGAGGAATATAGGTTTTTAAGTTGGGACGAAAATCGTGATGAATGCGTTATCTTTGGAAGATTAATCTGGCAGTGGCTTGGCGGTGCTGATGCTGGTGAGGGGCAAATTGAAGTAGGGAAAAGTGTTGGGTGGTGGAATGGCCCTGATCTGGATGTGCAGTTATGAAGGCCTGGCCCAGAGTAACACAGCAGAAGTTTAACAGTTTATATGGAAAATGTTTTTCAAGAGTACATCATTTTCTCTAATTTTATAGAATATTAAGGATAGTTTCCTATGCCCCTGAATTGAAACAGAATATGCTATTTATTTCAGGAGTGCCGGCTAACAAGCTACAAAATAGTGTTTCCAAGGAACTGAAAGGGAAGTTGAAACTGCCAGGGAGAATAGAGGGAGTGGAAGGGTTTGGGGGGTTTTGACAAGGACACAGCTTCTGGGGACAGACACGTCTCCGCCCTTGGCCTGCTCTGCCTAGAAGCCTCACCCTGTTCATGTCTGGGAAGGGGGCCAGTCTTGAGACAGGTCCAGACCGCGCAGCTTCCTGTCTGGGGCATGTAGCGATGTGATGCTGTGTCACCTTTACACGACAAATCAAAAAGCTTGAGGAGAAGGAGAAATAGCTTTTCCTGCATTTTCTCTGTACTACGTCTCCTCTGGGGTCCTGAATTTCCAGGATCCGAAAGTCTGTCATCAGAGATGCAATGCATGGATTCAGGTGCCCCAATTAAAAATTGCATATTGATTGTAGTGGGAAAAGGTATGGTTTTAACTTTTACTGGCGCTCTAAAATTTAAATTCAAAGGCATACTTTAGTCCAGTGGAGGGGATGCCCAGCTTGGAGTTTTCAGGTCCTTGTGTGTTGTCAAATGTTTAGGTCCAGGGAGAGAAAAGGGAAATTGGGCAACACTGAGATGCTCCTGGCCTTTTTTTCCACCCCCTCCTTTTCCTTTCTCTCTTTATGGCCACAAGAAGTCCAAGCAAACATTTTTTAAAAATTTAAATTTTCATTAAATGTAACTTTATTTCTTTTTTCATAGTTGGTAAATGCTTAATTTATGATGTCAAAAGTGGTGCTGTTCTCTCTTGGGAGGGGGGAATTACTTTCACATAAATCCCTACACAAATCCAAGGGTCTATGGTGGTCGGTTGGCCTGAAGAGAAGCTTTTTTAAAATTAAATTTAATTATTTTAATTTTTTTACTGCGTTGGGATTTTGCTGCTTCGCGCAGGCTTTCTCTAGTTGCAGCGAGCGGAGGCTACTCGTTGTTGCGGTGCGTGGGCTTCTCATTGCGGTGGCTTCTCTTGTTTTGGAGCACGGGCTCTAGGCATGCAGGCTTCAGTAGTTGTGGCACGTGGGCTCAGTAGTTGTGGCTCACGGGCTCTAGAGCGCAGGCTCAGTAGTTGTGGTGCACGGGCTTAGTTGCTTCGCAGCACGTGGGATCTTCCCGGACCAGGGCTCAAACCCGTGCCCCCTGCACTGGCAGGAGGATTCTCAAGCACTGTGCCACCAGGGAAGTACCAAGAGAAGCTTTTTTAAAGAAAGGGTAATTATTACTGGTGGCCCATTATGCATTCTTTGACAGAATCGTTACCTCAGTTATTTTAAGCACACTGTCCTAATACTGCTGTTTTTTCATTTCACTTCTCCCCTCCCCCCTCCCCCTTGCTCTCACCCCTTCCCCTACTCCCCGCCCCTGCACACATTCACCTTCTCATATTACACTTCTGAATGTCTGGTAAGAAACAATTTGGGTTGATCTTTAGACATTCCACCTGAAAATATTCTCCTTACCATATTGGCAGTTGTTAAGGTTGTAATTTATCTATGTTTTCCCAGAAGACTTGTGGTGGGTAACATGAGTTATATTTGCTATACCCACTGTCTTTAACTTTTGCCAGATGGTTGTGAAGAGAGCTGTTTGCTCTTTACTTGCAGACACAGAGAGTATGAAGCATTAAGGGCGGAAACAAGCACATGCTTAGAATTGCTTTTATGAGATGGTTTTGGACTAGAGAATGTTCTGTGATGCTACAAAGGCAAAGGTATTTACCAATCAAGATCAGAAAGAACCTGATCTCCTACATATCCCATAAGTATATAGTTTTCTCCAAAGTACTGAGCTGTGCTTTATCCAGTTACCATTTAAAAATCTCAACTTCACTGTATTTTATTTTACATAATAGAAAATATTTATTTACATAGCGCTTTGCCCCAGAAATCCCAAGAAACTCAGATATAGTCACTTACAGCCTTGTAACAGCTGAACTGAGGGTGCATGTTACATCACGTGAGAGGAAAGTCTCTGGAACAGGTTTTCTTGGAAGTGCCGAGGCAGAGGAGTTCCTTGTCAATGCCCTTTCCAGATAAAAAGACACTATCACAGTAGTAACGGCTGAGTTTCATACCGCTGTGTGTAGAGACATGCTTTGCCTAAAAGCGGCCATCGTACGGGCTTGTCCCTGGGCGGCGACTCTGGGACAGGATGATGCAACTTGCATTTGGGCATATCCAACGTGGAGCA